GACCAGAGTCACAGAACGAATTAAGTTCGTAACCCGAGGTACCACTATACTCTTAGGTCATCTTATTTACAAAGTTTTTGCACAACTGGTTGAATTGTATTTCAGTGAATTCCTAAGTGAATAAAAGCTGACACAGTCTCTACATAGTACAAACACAATATCTTTTTGTGAATCTGAAAATGTACTTGCTATTTATTTGTAGTTGTTTACAGATTCAAAATAAGAAAATACAGTCTGGGGACTGTGAAAGCCATTCCCACATTTGTATGTTACTTTCCTTTAAGTACTTCATTGTGAATTTGGTGGTGTGTTTCAGATCATTGTCTTGAAAGCTCTTTTACCACTGAAATTTATTCACTAACACAGGGACATTGTTCTAGGATATAATGATTTTCAGATTAATCCATCCTTCCCTCTACTTACACAATATTTCCTGTGTCACTGGCTTCTGTGTAGCTCCAAAACATAATAGACCACTGCTGTGCTTAACAATCAGCAAGGTGTTCTCTTCTTCAGATTCTTCTCTCTTTATTTTTCCAAAGGTAGCTTGTGTTGTTGCTAAAAAGTACAGTTTTCAGTTGTTCCAAAACAAACATTTTCCCCCAGAATGTTTCACACTTCTGAATATTTTAGGCATTGACTTTTGTGAGGCTTAGAGAAAAAGTTTTACCTTATGAGAAGTCTCTGATGCAATTGTTCTACTCTGGAGAACTACTCCAGAATTAGTTAAACTTTTCAGCAGGTGGTTTATATGGAAATCTGCAGTTTCTGTTTTGCATATCTGACCAGTCTGGGGGCAGCACTAGCAGAGATGTTTATTTGTCCCTCAGATCTTGCCTGGACTACAGCAATTCCATGTAACTTCCATTTCTTAACCATGTTTCTCACAGTTGAGATTATTAGCTGGAAACATTTCAAAATGTAAAAATGTTTTATAAGAATCAGTTGTCTTCAAATTCAGATGTTCAGATAGCTGTTTAGAGGAGCCCATGGTTGTTGAAAGGAGACAGAATAGCAGTCACAACCTAACAAATTAGAAGGGTCAGAGTAGTTGTAGAACTGTACTGTAGGCCTAATATGGCAATTATGTTTTAGGGCCTCATTAACAACTTTACAGTAAAGAAGGAGAAGGAGAAAGTAGTGCTGATTCAGTTGAAAAGGTTTCCAAACATCTGCATCCATATTCATGTTTTTCTTATTTTGAATGTGTAAACAACTGTATAATACATATGCATTCAGATTTTCAAAATGTCAGGTTTAACTATGTACTGTATAGACAGTGTCAGTGTTTGTTTTTTTAGGGGTTCATTGTTCCTCACAACCCCAACCCTTAAAGACCTGCCTCTTTCCCCATACCCTGGGCTAAGATGGAGTAAGATGAACTGTTGTGGATGGAATTTATGATGTAAAAATAGCTATGATTTTTTTCTCCCCAGTATATTTTTATCAGTGCTTTTAATACATTGTTTCTATCTTTAATTCTTGTAAGCTGTGCAGAATCACTGATGAGTAGGTGTCCCTGGAAATTTAAATTATAAACAAACAAATAAATATTGGCCAGAGTTCCTAAAAGTTTTCATGCAACTGTAGAAAACCACTTACAGATGTTTTAGAATAAGTATTTGGTAAAGAAACACCATCATTCTCAAAACATGTCAGCAAGTATTTTATACAAGTTGACTTCTCATTTGCTTCAGATTTTTCAAGGTTCTGTATCAGTACAACTGATCAACATTTCAAAACTTCCATAGTCTGTGAGCATTATATTTGAAAGAGTTGAAAGTCATTTCATTTTTTCCAAATCCATTTTGAAAATCTGAAAGTTCAGAACCTTCAGAGACAATAGCTCTAAGGAGTTCTGATACAACAAAAACACATTCTTGAGACATTTTTGAAGGAGACATTCTTTTCTAGCATGAAATAGAATATTAAAGATATACATATGGCTAATTTTATTGGCCATTAATGTAGCATTTGTTGTGCATGCTGAGGTGTACTCTGGATTAATTGAATATATACTTTTTCTGCTACTAGTTAAATTATATGGAAATCTGTATTTCAAGCTTTTTTATTCATCCATGTTAAATACAGCTTATATAGTAAAGTCAGTTAAATAAAGCTTATATAGTAAAGTCAGTTAAATAAAGCTTATATAGTAAAGTCAGATAATAAACCCTCCTCATTATTATGTCAGTAATTTCTGTTCAGCTCTTGTTATTTTTCCAGCTTTATCAAGAAGTTAAACTAAGGTACTTTCACCTCTATTTCACTGAACAAATTTGTGATAAAATAAAAATGTGTCCATTAACTAGAATGTGTGAGTCAATATATGGATATAGATATTTCATAGTCTTACACTGACTTTTGCATATAGTGCTGAGTTGTGATTTAGTATTAGATAAAAAGAGTGTTAAAGCAAGACCTCAAGCTTGAGTGTTTCTCCTTCCCGTGCTTGCCAGGAGGAGTAAATTGTTTCCCAGTTACTGTATATAACTAAGGATATTCATAATTATTGTTTGAAATTAA